CCAACTTACGATCAAACCACGATCCAACCACGGTTTGTAGAACAACCACGAATAAACGCAAACACACGATATAGAATGGACCAAATCCACGTGATACCACGAAAACCAACCCCGATCAATCCACGACAAACCAGATCAATCCCACTGATCCGGAACGCACGATCAACGCACTGGATCACACACGACCCAAATCCCGAACGACTCAAACCACACCAACTACGATCAACCCACATGACCGAAGCACACCGATCAACCACGACCCACCACGATCGGCACCACGCACCAACCAAACCACGATACAACCAATTGACCCAACCACGATCAAGTGCCACGACCCAACACGATTCAACCCACATCAACCCACGATCAAGCCACGACCAAGCCAACGGTATCAATGACTCGATAAGCACGATCAATGCCCGACGACCAACCACGACCAACCTAACTGACCAAGCTACGATCAACCTGACGCACGGACCAACCAACGAATCAACCACTCGACCAACCACGATCAACCACGACCAACCACGATCCAACATGCATGGACCAAATCCACGATCAACCAAAACCACGACCAAGCCACGGATCAACCACGATCAACCACGATGCAAACAGGCCACGACAACCACGAATTCAACCAACCGAATCAACTACACGATCAACCACGACAACCACTAGACCGAACTCACTCCCTTTAAAGACGGCTGATGATCCTCCTCGGGTTCTGGATCGCGGTTCGCTCTTCGTCTCGAGCGGCTCCGGCGGCGAGCTCCGGCGGGGAATCGTGGCCTCGGGCTCGTCTGCCGGCGCCGTCGCGGGAGAGAGGGTTGCTTGGCTGATTGGGTGATTGGTTGGTTGGTTGGTAGGTTGATTGAATTGATTGACTGTTGGTTGGTTGGTTTGATTGATTGATTGGTTGGTTGACTGATTGCTTGGTGGTTTTTGCTTGCTTGGTTGGTGATTGATTGATTGGGTGAATTGGGTTGCTTGCTTCATGGTTGGTTGAATTGATGGTTGTTGGTTGATTGTTGGTGAGTGATTGTTGGGTGATGGTTGCTTCTTCAATTGGTTTGGTTTGATTGATTGGTGTTTGGTTGGTTGGTTGATTGATTGATTGAGTGATTGGGGTGATTGGTTCTGGCTTGCTTCATTGGTTGTTGATTGACTGGTTGCTTGGTTGAGTGGTTACTTGCTTGATTGGTTAATTGGTTGCTTACTTGATTGGTTGGTTGCTTGGTTGATTGGTTTCTTGGATGATTGGTTGATTGGTTGGTTGCTTGACTGAATGGTTGATTGGTTGCTTGATTAATTGGTTGATTGATTGGTTGCTTGCATGTGTGTTTTGTCTGTGTCTGTCTTGCTTTTGTCTCTCTTTTTCTCTGTTTATTTGTTTCCCTGTCTATATATTCATCTCTTTCTTATTATACAAACGCATCTCAGGCGCTTCTGTTCTTCTCTTTGCCTATTCTTCAGGTATCTCTTATCTCTCATTCGTCTCTCAGTCCTCTGCTCTCTGTCGTCTTCTCACTCTCTCCGTCTCTCTCGTCTCATCTCGGTTCTCTCCTCTCGATCTCTCTCTCTCTCTCTCTCTCTCTCTCTCTCTCATCTCTCCTCTCTCTCGCTCTCGTCGCTCTCTCGCTCCTCTCTTTCTCTTCTTTCTCGTCGTAAAGTCAGCCGGTCGGAGTCTTTTGTCTCGTCTTTTCTCTCTTCTCTCTTTCCTCTCTCTCCCGGCGACGACAAGCATTCACACTAAACCAATATTATACATACGAACACGATGCACGACACACAACATACACATACAACGCCACACACAACAAACACACACACACAGGCGTCCTAGGGTTGATATGGAGTCAGGCGGTCGGGGTTCAGGGAGGAGGAAGGGTCAGGGTTTGCAAGGGTATTTCCCATTAGATCATTTCTTGAGCGCCCCAATTTGCAGCATACACACGGGCACACACGATCACGCCCACCCCACCCGCCCGGCACGACCTCCCAGAGCGCCGGGGAAAGCCACCGCAAATCAAAGAGCGAATCACTCCCAGAATTGCCTGGGGCGGGGGGTCCGAAAGGCGTTCATTTCCCGATACTTCTCCTTTCGTATCTTCTTTTCTTATTACAACATGGTGCTTTCAACGTTGGCAGGATTAGGGTCCCCGTTTGCAGAGCGAGTGAATGACGATGCGAGTAGAACTGGCTGGTCGATTTTTGCAATGTTGGTTGGGCGCCTTTCCGAAGCAGACACTGCACATTAAACTCTGTGCATTAGTTTGTGTGTGTTAGTTGTAGTAACTATATTATATTTTGTGCATATATATATAATATATACTATATATATATATATATATGATTTATGTGTATATATATATATAAATATATAATATCACCATAATATGAGTATAGTTTATATATATTATATATAATATATAATTGTGTCGTAATGTAATGTATAGATAGAGTAGAATAGATAGATATGATAGGATTAGATAGGATAGGA